GCCGACCTAGGTTAGGTACTTCAGGGAGTTGTTCCGCTCACACTGCCTTTCACCTGACACCACGGTGTTGTGCTCCCAGAGGGGTTCGTCATCGCCAACGACGTGGACAACAAGCGCTGCTACCTGCTGGTGCATCAGGCCAAGCGGCTGAGCAGTCCCTGCATCATGGTGGTCAACCACGACGCGTCCTGCATCCCCAGGCTCCAGATGGATGTGAACGGGAGGAAGGAGATTCTCTTCTACGACCGCATCCTGTGTGACGTCCCTTGCAGGTACGGCTACGAGGCCAGAAACCCCCAAATCCACTCGAGAGCCAATCAGGTATAGTCTAAAATGAAGCTACACGTGAACAGAACACTCAGGTAATTGCATGTATGAATCTTGGGGCAACTGACTTGAAGAGAGAGACATTGTGAGCCTAAATCAGAAGACAGACACTCGGCTTCAGTGATAAACTGGACAGCTGACAACACAGAACAAGAGATCGGAAAGAGGTGGTTTTGATAGTCTTAGAAGAGAGAGAAAGAAAACACTTGAGGGGAGGTAGCATCGTACGCTCTGGTCAGGGGCGTCTCGGTGTTGGTGCTGCCAGTGACCTCGTCCCGGGGAGTGTAATCGTGGGACTTGCGGTGAGGATGGACGGCGCTTGGCCGTGACTCATCCGTGATCACGGTGGGTTCTGATGGTCAGTCTCATGCTATTTGGCACAGTGCGGTTCAGGAGGTCAGACCTTGGGAAAACTCATGTGTATTTGTACACATACCTTTTGTTAAATTTTTCATACTAATTTTAGATGTTTATAGCTTAACTATGAAAGAATTTCATGGCATAGCTGAATAACTGAATTTTTCCAAAAGAAAAGAAGAATGTTAAAGACGTCTGTGAAGTTCCTGGAGGCAGCGACGTAGGTGGGGATGTCGCAGTGTTTGATACTTTCTGAACACACGACTTTGTCGAGACGGTAGCGCAGGAGCTGCCACCGGACTTGGTTACATGAACCAGGGTTTAAATCTGACCCATCGCTATTAAATCCCATCTTATTTAAACAAGGGGCAGATTTACGGCTGGTGGCAGAGCTCAGTTTGAAAGTCGTAGCTGGCAGCACTGAGTGTGACCAAGTGTCAAGTGCCTGAGAGAATTCCCCATTACAGAAAAATCAGATGTAAGTCATGAGCTACATTCTTTTCTTTTGAGATTGCAGTTTTTTCATTTTCCTTTGGATCAGATAATTTCCCACTACTATATTCTGTTGATCAGAAATATATTGTGAGAATGACATGACCTCTTGAGCTCTGAGTTGTGAGGTGAAGAAATTCCTCAAATTATGGTAGAGTTCCAGCCACCACCACACAAGCAGGACAAGCAGGGGTGCCGTTTGAAAGCCATCATGTCTCACAGGGCAGTTCATCCTGCAGGCCCTTCAGCTTCAGGACATGTGGCTAGAAACCAAGGAAAATTGACTTTTACAGAGAAAGCCAGAGACACAGGAATTATTCCAAAAAATCTCAGTAGATAAAATCAGACATGGACAGAACAATTAATTGATCAACTCTGTGTTATAATGTATATGGACATAATCACCCCTTTAAATAAAAACGGAAATTTAAGAATGTTTAACTGTGATATATACAAATATCTTGGTAAAGAAATTAAATTGGCTTAATTGAATTTGCTGTGGAAATCCCTTGTAAGTTTATCATCATTCATGTAATTCTGATTAAAACGCTGCTGTTGGTTAGCTGAGTTTCTAAGTAGCAGGATCAAATGCTTTGTATGTATTCGTGGTTCTTGTCCTGGGTCTGTAGGTTTGTTTTGCTAGTATTTCAAGTAGAAGCAAGTTACTCTCTCAAGTGTTGAGTGAGGTTTCCTTCTCAAATCTTTATTTCCTTACTGAATTGAAATCAAAGTATAATTAGAAAGTTTAACATATATTAGAGTGGCTCCAAAACAGAAATAGAAAGTTTATTGTCATTTGTGAGAAGTTAGGTTGTTTTCTTTACTAATAGCACCTGTTTTGTGGGTTAGCTGGAATATGACATATTTGTTGAGCGCTCATTGTCTACCTGTGCAGAGTTTTAAGTTCTTAAATTTATCTTTCTTTTCAGTGGAGATGGCACTATGAGGAAAAACATTGATGTTTGGAAAAAGTGGACCACCTTAAATAGCTTGCAGCTGCACGGGTGAGTGCAGCCGCGTGCCTGGTAGCGCTGTCAGGCTGAGAGGTGGCGAAGGTTGAAGGTGGTTACCTGAGCACCCAGATCTCCAGCTGCCCGACCGCGAGCCACAGAGTCAGTGGCCACCTTCAAGAGGGTTTGCTTATTTGTCAGTTGTTTCTAAAACCTTTCAAGAGTAGTAAACTGAAGACTGTGTACATTTTAGGTACACATTTATTGAAAACGCCTTTTATAAAAATTTCCTGTAACATTTCAAATATGCTTTCCATGAAATGACCATTTTGTACTAATATTTCTCCACTTCGTGTTTAATTCTTTTGTGTTAAATTATTTTGCTCAACATTTTGATCTCCTAGAAATATTTTTTGGTTGTCTTTACAGAAAATTTGTTTAAAGGGAAAAGAAAATCTTATACCTCAAAGATAATGCCTGTGATGCCTCTAGTGTGCTGCGGTGTTTTGTGGGCACGGGGATTTTTAAAGTACCTGCTTTGAATGTACTGTCTGTAGAGCTGTGTTCTTTTTTCTCATTTACCATTAAAATTATACAAATGCAGGACAGGGTGATGTAACGTGTACTAATGAATATTCACCATAAATAACTCTGGGAGGAAATTTTGTTTCTCTGTTAAAAACTTAACTACTGTTTTCAAGAAACAGGCATTTAGGATAGAATTACTACAGGATACAAACTATTCATAGAAAAAAAATCAAATATTTTATAAGTATGGAGGCCGTTTAAATAGTGAAATTGACCCAATATATTGAATTCCTTGTTAATGAGCTTTACGCTTTGCTTGTTGACGTGTTGGGAAAGGTTAACAGAGTAGTAACAATTTTTACATAAATAGATGCTTTTTTAAAATTAAGGTGGAACATCTTGTATAGGTTTATTCTAACTCTATTTAGAACCCTAAAGTTTTGCTTTGTTTTTTCTTTTTTTTAACATGGGACTTGTATTGTCTGAAGTATTTTATATCTTAAGTCTGTCATAGAATTTGTGATAAACACATGCTGTGATAGGTGCCCGTGACGTACGTGCCATGTGGATGTGCTCGGTCTCGGTAACCTCGTGTCCGACCTTAGCTTGCAGCTGCGGATCGCGACCCGGGGCGCGGAGCAGCTGGTGGAGGGCGGTAGGATGGTGTACTCCACGTGTTCCCTGAACCCCATCGAAGATGAGGCGGTCATAGCATCCTTGCTGGAGAAGAGTGAAGGTCGGTGTGTGACGGCTGTTTTAGTAAGAGCGTGTGCTTCTCAGAGGCTTTATTCAGGAGTAGTTAGGGTACATTTTAGGGACACATTTGTTGAAAATGCCTTTTAAATTGCTCTAATGTATTTTCCTATAGACCTCTTCCATATTTGCATATATGATTAGCCTATAAACCCTAAAATGAGGTGTCCCTGATTTAAAACATGTATATAATGTATTTGTTGTATTTCATGAATTACAAGGTTTGCCCTTTTTACTTCTCTAAGCTTGAAGGATTGTAGAAGATCCTTATTGCACTGTTTTTTTCCCTAAATTTGATGGTAAAACGCACATAACTTTAAATTTACCATCTTAACTATTTTTAAATACACAGTTCAGTGGTGTTAAGTACATTCATACTGTTGTGTAGGCAATTTCCAGAGCTCTTCATCTTGCAGGACTGCAATTCTGGACCTGTTAAACAATTCCCCAGTATCCCCTCCGCACCGCTGTGTTCTGTCTCTGAGTTTGACCACTCTAGGGGTCTCGCATGAGTGGAAGCATGCAGTGTGTGTCTTTTTGTAACTGACTGGCTCATTTCATTTAGGATAACATCCTCGAGGTTTATCCCTATTATGTCATGTATCAGACGTCCTTCCTTTCTATATCATGTATATCATGTATCATATTTCATGTATCATATATCCTATATCATGTATCAGAGCGTTCTTCCTTTCTATATCATGTATATCATATATCATATATCATGTATCGTATATCATATATCATGTATCAGAACGTCCTTCCTTTCTAAAGAAGGCTGGAAGTACTCCACTGTCGGTACAGAACGTGGTTTCTTTATCCGTTCATCTGTTGAGGGACAGTCGGGTTGCTCCCGCATTTTAGCTGTTGTGAATAACTCTGCTGTGAACGTGCACAGATGACTCCTTGAGTCCCTGCCCTCAGGGACTTTCAGTGGTATACACAAGTGGAATTGTCGCATCCTTTGGCGTATCTGTGTTGTCTTTTTGAGGGCCCGCCTTACTGTTTTCCACGGCAGCTGCACCATTTTACATTCCCACCAACAGTGCACAGGAGTTCCAGTTTCTCCACACTCAGCGCTGGTTTTCTGTTTGTTTGGTAGTAGCCATCCTAGTGGGTGTGAGTTCTTATCACACTGTCTGTACTGAGGGACCAGATTGTATGAAATGTTCTGAAACAGCTGTTTTCATGTTTTGATGTTCAGTTATTATTTCTCCTTTTGTTTTCACTGAAATTAACCTTTTCTATCAAATTCTTCTTAAAGCAAATAATGGGAAATTTCAAACTAACTACGTTTCCAGCATAGAATGCTACAAAGTTTTCTACTTAAGTGTGAAGCAAGTTGAAACGTAACAGTTGAAACACATGTGCGTTTCCCGGGGCGGCACCCACGACCATCTAGGCTTCCAGGGGGTTTCTCCTCGCGGCTGACGGAGCTGTGCTGTGTCGTCAGCCCTCTGACTGTTGGCACTGGTGGGATCCTTTAGACCTGAGTTTAATGTGTTGTTGGTTTTGCTGTACTTACAGAGACGTGATTTCTGAATCACGTGTTTTGCATGGTCATAATCTCCACGTCTTTGCTGGCGCTTTATTCCTGAAGGCATGTGAGGGAGACTGTGGATGGTGTCATTTCACAGTGAACGTAACCCCGAGTGTCCTGCTCTGTGATTATTTTCTTACCGGGCAGGTGGCTTTCCCGTCTTGAGTGTTGCTCTCACCGCTGTCTCTGCACGTGGTTGTTCAGACCGCACTGTAGATGCCTCAGCTCTCCTCTGTCAGAGGCATCCTGCGTGGACACGGCTTCATCGGAGAGGAGGCCTTTGCTGGGCCTTGTCCTCTGGGTTGTGGGGATTTTGACTGGAGGGAACATAAAGGCACGAAGACACAAACCATCTCACGGGTGTGTGTCTGGAAACCAGGAGGGGCTGAGCTCTGGGGGCCCTCGCCTTGTGTCGTGGACGGGCTGTCCTTGCTGTGGAGCCTCTCTGGGGTGCTTGGGGGGCTGTGCAGCCCCTCACTTAACCAGCTTTACTCTACCGTGCTGTCGTTCATGGGCCATGACACTCACTTGTTCTAAGTGTGCAGTTGAGTGAGCGCTGGTGACTTGGCTGCGTCGCCGTGTGTCCCTCTCAACGGCCCTGTCTTAGAGCATTTCCATCCCCTCGGGAAGCTCCCGTGCACACGTGCAGTCACTCCCTGTCCGCCTCGCCCCGGGAACCACGGGTCTGCCTTCTGTCCGACGGGCCTGCCCTCCCTGGACGCTTCCTGTAAACAGAATCCTGCCGTTTGTGGTCTTCTGTAGCCGGGCTCTTGCGCAGGGCGTGATGTGAGGTTCTTTTTGATGCCAGGTGCTTTGGAGCTCGCGGATGTGTCCTCTGAACTTCCGGGACTGAAGTGGATGCCTGGACTCTCACAGTGGAAGGTAACCTTTCTGTGAGGACCCTGGCTCAGAAGAGCGGGTCAGCTTAAGTAGGCTTGTTAGAATTGTGGAAGTTTTAAAGCGTCCACATTTGGGTGACTTGAGTGAATAGTACATTGGGCTATATGGCTTAGAATCAACTTCAAAATTCTGTTGAATGACAGATTAGCAAGATTGTATAAATATTTTTGTCTGGCAGTGGAAAAGTTTTCCTGTCTTCATTCTGCAGGTAGAAGTCAGCTTTGTTTATTCTCATCCCATAAGTATAGCTTTGCTTTTTTTCCTTTTAATTGGCTGGGATTCAAGCTTTGTTTCCAACATGAAACCAGTCACTTTTCTGTTTGAAACCAGGAAAAATCCGAGGCTTGTTTTAAAAAAGAAAAAACCCACGCGGACAATGAAAGCGCTGCGCTACTGGAAGGACTGTCTCACTTTTGCCCTTGCAAACAGCGCTCTGGGCTTCGGAGAGAAATGAGAACGGCCCCTCACCACGTGGGAGAGCGTCTCCACCGCCGCGCTGGCACTCCCTCTCGTCGGGCAGTGCTGGAATTCAGCATCCACCCTCTCGTTCTGCAGGTGATGACGAAAGATGGGCAGTGGTTTGCAGAGTGGGATGATGTCCCTCGCAGCAGGCATACCCAGATTCGGCCTACCATGTTCCCCCCCAGGGACCCCGAACAGTTACAGGCGATGCACCTGGAGCGCTGGTGAGTTGGGGGGCAGGCGGTGGGGCCCCTGGCATTCCTGCATGGCCTGGCTGCACCCGTGGCCAGCCCAATAGGTGAGCTTTCCAGCAGGGGCGATTTCTCCAGCCTGGTAACTGCTGGCATCAAACATTTGTAAACAGTGAAAGTGCTTTGAACCTAATGGTGACGCGTAGAATAGAGCACCACATCCACTTTTCACAGATTGCACCTCGGCCATGCTGTGAGCGAGGGCTGCATGACTCTTTACAGCGAAAGATTGTGTTTTGATCAGGCAAAAAGGGTAAATAGTGATCCTTGGTTTCTGTTTTGTTTTTAGTCTTAGGATATTACCCCATCATCAAAACACTGGAGGGTTCTTCATGGCAGTGTTAGTGAAAAAGTGTTCGATGCCTTGGAATAAACGTCCCCCAAAGGTGAATGTCTTCCAGAACAACCGAGCGTACCATTCGGTCTTTTCATGCATTTGTGGCAAAAGCTGGCAGGGGTCAGGTCGAGAATGTGTGTGTGGGATGAGGGGTTCGTTTAAATTTTGAGTTTTCCAAAAACCAACCATGTCTTATGAGGGAGAAACAAGTGGAAAAAGCAGTTTGGGAAGTGTATTCTTTCTACATCTCAAGTCCAGTTCTTGAATAAAAATGTAAAGACCGCTCTGCTGCTCAGAATCAGAGCGGCGCCCCCGCCTCCGCCTGGCTGGCGCCTGTGCTCTGCTTCCTTCCCTGTGGCCGTGGGGGGGGCGGTGACAGGCTGTCCAGGCCTGGCCGAAGGGGACACAGACCTGGCCTGCCCTGGCATGACAAGCCTCAGTGGCTCCTGGATCACGGGGAGGGAGGCCACAAAGCAGACTGATCGAGCCTGAGTCTTGACACAGTTGCCGCCAACGTGCTGCCCTCTGCTGTAACCGCCGGGGGCCTGGCACGCTCTGCTGTCGGCACCCACGGCCGTGCCGCCCGGCCCGCAGTCGGTCTGCAGGTCTGTCCTGCTTTCTGGTTTGTGCCTGAAAGTGAGGACAAATAATGCTTAACCTTTGGAGAAACAAGCAAAACTAGACTCAGTGCCTGTGAATTCTGCTTATAATGGCAAACAGATTTAAAATACTTGCTTTAAAAAAGTCCTGGTGTCTCTTTTACACATAAAATGCTGCCGTCACTCGGGTGGAGTTTGTGAGCTGCCATCAGGGTGGGGCAGGTCGCAGTCTGAGTGTAAACGAGCTTGTCTCCGTCACAGCCGCAGGGCGAGTCTGCAGACCCCAGGGCCCCCCTGCAGCCAAGCCCCTCAGACCCCACAGTGGGGAGCACCTCCGACCCCTCGGAGCTGGAGGGTAAAACTGGAACTAGCGACACAGAAATGACTGAAAGAACTGAGAATTTGGAGACTAATGGAAATAGGAAAGATGGCGTGTGTGGGTAAGAAACGGTTGTGTCCCGATCCTGGCATCCTCGTGTCCGCCTAGCACCTGTAGATTACCTTGGACCGCAGAGCGCCCCTGTGCTGCCTTGGCCGGGGTGGGCCTGGGTGAGAGCGTCCTTGCCGCGTAGGATGCGGTTTGGTGCGTGAACCTGCATCGTGGATGCTGCTGGCTGTCGTCTGGAGGGCAGAGACTTGACACCCACCCCGTACAGAGCCTGCATGCCTGGAACCCGGGGCCGCACAGAGCCGGGCGGGAGGAGGGACGTGCTGCTGGAATTTAACGTTATTACCCAGATTGCAGGTTGATTTATCTCATCCCCACTCCCTCCTCAGTCCTCCTCCATCTAAGAAAATGAAGTTATTTGGATTCAAAGAAGATCCGTTTGTATTTATTCCTGAAGACGACCCATTGTTTCCACCCATCCAGTAAGGATTAATTCAACCTTTTAAATTCTTCATTTAGATACGTTTACTGTAGAGTTCCCCGTGCACACATGGTCACATTTAACCATAGTCTTTAATTTAGCTCCTTCTGAAGTGCGTGTTAGAGCTGGGTGGAACTTCAGAGAGTGTTTGCTGAGCCCTTCCGTTTCAGGTGCCCAGTAACCAGAGAAGGAAGACCACCCAGAGGGAAAGGTGGGGAGGACGGGGCGCTCTGGGCCATGAGCCCCAGCGTGACCCATTCAGTTGAACTTCAGGATCGGGGGCCAGGCTCCCCACCTCGCTTCCGACTCAGGGGGTCTGGGTGGGATTTCCAGGTAGAACAGGGGAGAGGTGCTCAGGATGGCATGTCAGGTTCATGTCTTGTTAAATTCAGTGTCTGTTCCCCAGAGCGGTCGCTTCCGTTGTCCTGTGGATAACTGGTACTTGCCTGCATTTGTAAAAATCTCTCCTAAAACGTCTCTGGAGGAGGTGGGTGTCCTCAGCTGTGTCATCAGAGCAGCAGTTGAGGGGGAAGCCACACCTGTTAACGCAGACCCCTGACCTAGCTGTGCTCTGATGGAACTCCTGGAGGTTTTGGGTGGAGTGGGTGAAGTCAGAAGTCCATGTCCAGCGAGCGGAGCTCCAGTGCCCTTTAAGCCGCACTGAGTTTGAGAAATTAGTTCTTTTTGGGGCGAGTGGAATGCTAGAGACAGTGATCTCATTTTGAACTGGTCTCTCATAAACAGCTGTCTTCTTTACAGGAAATTTTATGCTTTAGATCCTTCATTCCCAAAGATGAATTTGTTAACACGAACCACAGAAGGGAAGAAAAGGCAGCTCTACATGGTGTCCAAGGAGCTCAGAAATGTGCTGCTGAACAATAGTGAACGGATGAAGGTACCACGGCGATGGGAGGTCAGGGGCATGTGCGCTGCTGTCGCCTGCTTGGGTTCGGTTGGGAGGAGCCGGTCCTGGTGCAGCTCTCCGCGTCGGTGGTGGGCAGAGGGGACCCGGCTGCCCGGCTGTGTCCTCTGCCCCACTGTGCTCGCTCCAGCTGTGTCGGGGGGCTGGGGGTCTGCCTCCTGCTCCTGTGGCCACTTGGTTTTATTTGTCCTTTCCATTTTCTGTAGATTCTCCTTTCCATTTTCTGTAGATTTCTTTCCACTTTTCAGGCCCCGATTTTCATTTGCTTTACTGTTTTTCCAGCTCGTTTACCCCCTTGCCTTTCTGTTCCATCCAGCACATCTCCGTGTGGTTTGGAGGTCAGAAGTATCACCGTGACATTACTGAGACATTAGGTGCCTCTTTGTCCTCTCTTGGCTGCCACTGGGGGTCCCAGGGCAACAGCATCCTTGCTCCTTCTGGCCCATGGCGTGTGTGTTACATGGTCTTTCTCTGCTCTCCTGGCTTTAATGTCTGTTGCGCTAACTGCTAGTCAGTGTAAGCCACATAAACCAGGGCCAGGAGACCCCCTAGTTTAGTCAGATGGCTCTTCGGGTATTTTCTACTTTTCCTTTTTCTTTTTTTCAGCAGCTGCTTGTCGCTCTGTCTCCTCACAGTAGAAGGGAGTGTTTTAATCGATGGTTTTCACTTGTGTGTGTGTTTCATCTGAGATTTTCCCATCCAGGTTATTAACACCGGGATTAAAGTCTGGTGTCGCAATAACAGTGGGGAGGAGTTTGACTGTGCTTTCCGGTTGGCGCAGGAGGTAATGGCGAGCTGGCGGGACAGCGCAGCCACGGGGGCGTACATGAGTGTTTCTGAGCTGGCCCAGCAGGTCCGGGCTGCCTGGAGCTGGGCCGGCTTCTTCCAGCTGGGGCACTCTGCCACCGAGCTCGCCCGCTGGGTTCCTGCTGGGGTTGGGAGGGGTGTGTTTGCTCACAGATACCATGTGTATCACCGGTGCCCCACCTGCTGTGGGGCGGGGAGGGCAGGGCTCGCTTCCTGCTGGATGAAGGGTGGTTGCTACCGGGCATAATGGTGACCTCTCTCTCTATCCCTACAGGGAATATATACATTGTATCCATTTATTAATTCAAGGATCATCACTGTATCGATAGAAGATGTTAAAATTCTGTTAACCCAGGAGAATCCATTTTTTAGAAAACTCAGCAGTGAGACATACAGCCAAGCCAAGGACATGGGTAAGCAGCGCGGTAGACCTGTAACCTGTCCTCGCACACACCGTGCACACGGGGCATTCCTGCTTGGCGGATGTCTCAGTTTTATGTTTCAGTACAGTGAGGCTTGCTTTTTACCAGCTGTCAATTTTCAGAGGGATTTGTGGAGGTAGAACTGATAGCTCCGTATCCTGAAGGTCAGGGGCATCCCTGGGGTTGCTCTGCTCCCCCCAGTGAGACCCCGTGGCCGTTGGTGCGGGTGTGGGTCCCAGTCGCACAGGCGTCCTTGCTGTTCTGTACCATTAGCTGCCACCTCGAGTCACTCTGGTCACGTTTCCGCCTAAGAACAGAATAACCCCACTGAGGCTTCCAGTTCTGCTTGTCTTCTCAGTGTTTTTTTTTATAACTTGTTCAGTGTTTTTGGCTCAATTTGGTGAAAACCGCACACATCAGTTCCTGAAGTTGTGTGATCTTGAGTCCTGCGCCTGCAACTGGCGCCCGGAGCGGACCGCGTGGGCCGGCGTGGGCTGCCTCCCTTGGCGGGGCCGCGGCCGCCGCGC